TGACGGTTTACACGGAAGATTTCATTCATCTTATGTATGATGGAATGATTCTCATTTCATCATAAGGGGGAGTATGTAATAATGAATGAAATATTCATTTCCGAACTTTTTAAAGGGAWTCTGATGCAAAGATCAAGGGGGAGTAACTTCAAGTTTAGCAAAAGACTCAAAAGAAGTGCGACTGGAGAGATAATTACAGAAAGATTATTCATGTGTTACAATGACTGAGAGATGTTGAATGTGAAGATCATCTTTAAAACAGTTTACTAAAGATTAATTCTGAAGATTTTTTGAAGATCAAATATTGTACATTGTTTCTGTTGATTACTGTTCTACATTGTCAAAAGAGAAGATCACTGCGGTTCTACATTCAAGGGGGAGAATGCTAGAAGATCTATCTCAACAGTTGATTGCTTGAAGATTTCTTTTGAAGATGACATAATGTTCTTAAAGATTCAAAGTTCAAGCAGGACTCAAAGCGCATAATTTCTTTCAAGTTTGAATACAAAGGGGGAGAATGTTAGGACTGAAAATCAGTATTAAATTGTATTCGTCTTGAAAGTTAAATATTGTCTATAATTGTAAAAGTCATCGTGTTTGACTTTTCTTAGATAGGTTTGACTTTGACTATTGTTTAGATGTTTGACCCTATAAATAGGGTGATGTCTTTTGTAATCTTGAAGAGAGAGCTTATTGTATATTCTGATACGTAATAAGAGGTTTGACTAGAGCTTTGAATGTTTGACTTTCTCTCTCAATATTCATCTTAAGTGTTCTTGATGTTCTTACAAGAAATATCTTAGATCTGCCATGTTTGTGAAGATGTATGAAGATTGATCATTGTAGTGGGACATACACGATCCTTACTTGGAATGATTGGCGGAAAAATTTCAAAAAAAAAAAATACTTTCCTCCGACGAGGAATGTAAAAATTAGAAATGAAATTATGACGTTTCGCCAAGAAGAAGATGAAGCGGTATCAGATGCATGGGAGAGATTCAAGGACCTTCTACGGAAGTGTCCTCATCATGGAATCCCTCATTGTATTCAATTGAAAACTTTTTATAATGGATTTTCCAGTGCCGCTAAGATTATTCTTGACGCAATGGCCGGTGGCTCTTTCACAGCTAAAACCTATAATGAGGGGTATGATATTTTGGAATGAATTTATAATAATAATACTGAATGGTCTAACCCTCGTGCTGTTATTTCTAAATCTACCTTGGGAATTCATGAGCTTGATGCCATTTCTTCTTTGAATGCCCAAATTGTTGCTTTAACTAATTTGGTTAAAAACAACTTAAACTTGAATGGGGAAAAGAATCAAGTTCAATCCATAATGTCAAATTCATCCATGACTGAATCTTGTGTTTTCTATGGTGAAAATCTTTCTTATGAGTTTTGCCCAGGAAACCCCGTTTCGGTTAATTATGTTGGAAACCATACAAGAAATAGCCCATTTTCTCCTACGTACAATCCAAATTGGAGAAATCATCCGAATTTTTCATGGGTCGAAAATCCTGGACTTCAACCCCCCGGGGCAACCCAGGTCCAAAACCGACCTCTGAATCCCCTGAGATTTCATCAAGGTGGTCATCACATGCAAGGTAATCATCACATGTACCAAAATGGGCAATCTTCACAATCACATGCACCTAGGCAACAAAATGCATCAGAGGGTAATGGTTCACTCAAATCTTTACTTAAAGGTTTTATAAACCAAACCAATGCCACTTTGAGGAATTTTGAGACTCAACTCGGCCAATTTGCCGCGGATCTCAAGAATAGACCCCAAGGAACTTTGCCTAGTAACACAGAAACACCAAAAGAACATGTCAAAGACGTGACTTTGAGAAGTGATGGGAACTTGGGAGAATCTAGTACCACAAAGGAGACACCTAGTGAACCGATTTGTCAAGAAAATATTTCACATTCTTTTGACACATTAAAATTTCCAGTATTGTTTCTTCCGGCTGAAGAAACACAAAATCTATTTTCTGTCCCAGAAACAGCAGGTATGCCCAGTTCCAGCACCACCAAGTTTCCACCTGACACTGCTCACAGTGGGCAGAAACTGCCCACTCCCCAACAAAAAAAGACCGGTCTAACAGATTTAGATATGAGAGATTTATCTTTTCCAGGTAGGATGAAAGCCAAAAATGTGGATGTACAGTTTAAGAAGTTCTTGGACATCTTTAAGCAACTCCACATTAACATACCTTTGGTAGAAGCTCTCGAGCAAATGCCTAGCTATGTAAATTTTTTGAAAGACATCCTCAATAAAAAGAGAAGACTGAGTGAATTTGAGACCGTGTCTTTGACAAAGGAGTGTAGTGCCCTTCTTACTTGTAAAATTCCCCCAAAATTAAAAGACCCGGGAAGTTTCACCATCCCGTGTTCGATTGGAGGGAAAGAAGTAGGTCATGCCTTCTGTGACCTTAGGGCAAGTATAAACCTCATGCCTCTGTCCATTTTTAATAAATTGGGAATAGGGGAAGTTCGACCAACCACCGTGACTTCGCAACTAGCGGATAGGTCCTTGGCAAATCCAAAAGGAAAAATTGAAGACATCTTGGTTAAAGTGGACAAATTCATCTTTCYAGCMGACTTTCTAGTGTTAGATTATGAAGCCGATAGGAATGTTCCGATCATCTTAGGAAGACCCTTTCTTGCTACGGGTTGAACATTGATTGACGTACAAAAGGGAGAGTTGACCATGAGAGTGAACGACCAGCAGGTAACTTTCAATGTGTTTAAAACTCTTAAGTTTAATGGGAAATTGAGGACTATTCGTTTATTTACTTAGTAGGTGAAGATTTAGATCTAAGTTTGATTGACTGTGCCCACAGTGGAGACACTGTGGGTATGCAGAAGACATTCGTAAAGAAGACTTACTTGAGGACATAGCTGCCTTTGAACAGTTAGATTTTAAGGATATACCAACCCAAACCCCGTCCATTGTAGAAGCACCCGATTTGGAGTTAAAACCACTGCCTTCACATCTTAAGTATGTATATCTTATGGAAGAAGAAAAATTGCCTGTGATTATTTCTTCCAACTTAAGTAGTGAAGAAGAAGAAAAGTTTATAGATTTGCTGAAAGACCACAAGAAAACCTTTGGTTGGATCATAGCTGATATTAGGGGAATAAGCCCGTCCCTTTGCCAACATAAGATCATCTTGGAAGAAAATAGTGTTGGAAAGGTACAACCTCAAAAACGACTAAATCCAATCATGAAAGAAGTGGTTAAAAAGGAAATCTTGAAGTGGTTAGACGCAGGTATTATATACCCCATTGCTAGTAGTGGTTGGGTAAGTCCGGTACAATGCGTGCCAAAGAAAGGTGGTACCACGGTAATCACCAACGACAAAAACGAACTTATCCCAACTAGGACCGTTACCGGGTGGAGGATTTGTATGGACTATAGGCAATTGAACTTAGCTACTAAGAAATATCACTTCCCTTTGCCTTTCATAGATCAAATGCTAGATCGCTTGGCCAGTAAGGAGTTTTATTGCTTTTTGGATGGATACTCGGGATACAATCAAATCCACATTGCACCCGAAGATCAAGAGAAAACTACTTTCACTTGTCCTTTCAGAACTTTTGTTTTCCAACGTATGCCATTCGGTTTATGTAATGCTCCGACCAATTTCCAACGATGTATGATGTCTATTTTTTGGATATGATTGAGGATACTATGGAAGTTTTATGGATGATTTTTCGGTTATTGGCACCAATTTTGAAAATTGTCTTGAAAACTTAAAGAAAAGTTTGGAGAGATGTGAGACCCATGACTTGATTTTAAATTGGGAAAAATGTCATTTTATGGTACAAGAGGGAATTGTTTTGGGTCACATGGTTTCGAAAAAAGGTTTGGAAGTTGACAAAGCTAAGATTGAGGTGATAATGCAATTGCCCGAACCAAATTCGGTCAAAGGCATTCGTAGTTTTTTGGGACATGCGGGTTTTTACCGAAGGTTTATTAAGGATTTTTCTAAAATTGCAAAACCCTTATGTAACTTGTTGCATGTTGACCAAACTTTTGAGTTCACCTTCGATTGTAAAAAGGTTTTTGAAACAATCAAGAATGCTCTTGTCTCGGCACCCATTATCATTACTCCAAATTGGTCCCCTACCTTTTGAGGTAATGTGTGACGCGAGTGATTGGGCCGTGGGTGCCATTTTGGGACAAAGGCAAAATAAAACTTTTCACCCCATATACTACGCAAGTAAAACTTTTGTTGAAGCTCAATTAAATTACACCACAACGGAAAAAGAATTACTTGCGGTAGTATTTGCTTTTGATCGTTTCCGTTCATACTTGATTGGTACCAAAGTCACTGTTCATACAGATCATTCTGCAATAAAGTATTTATTTAATAAAGCTGATGCTAAGCCACGACTTATTAGATGGATCCTTCTCTTGCAAGAATTTAATCTTGAGATTGTTGACCGAAAGGGAAGTGACAATCAAGTGGCCAATCACTTTTCTAGAATTGAAGGAAATGTATCAAGTGGGGGGAGTCATGAGATTAAGGAAGCTTTCTCGGATGAATATGTTTTGGCCATACAACACAGTTTTCAAAAACAACATCCTTGGTATGCAGATATTGCCAACTATCTTGCGTGTGGCCTTAAACCATATCATTTTCAGGGAAATCGGTTTAAAAAATTCCTTCACGATTGCAAGCATTATTTGTAGGACGACCCGTTCCTTTATAAAATGGGATCAGACCAAATTTTGAGAAAATGCGTCCCGGATGATGAAATCCAAGCTTTGTTAAAAGAGTGTCACGCATCGCCGTACGGAGGTCACTTTGGTGGACAACGTTCGGCTGCTAAAATTTTACAAAGCGGATTTTTTTGGTCTACCATGTTTAAACATGCTTTTGAATTTGTGAAGAGTTGTGACCAATGTCAACGCATGGGAAATTTGTCCCAAAGAAATGAGATGCCCTTAAACAATATTTTAGAAGTCGAACTTTTCGATGTTTGGGGTATTGATTTTATGGGACCGTTCCCCATGTCTTTCATAATCAATACATTTTGGTTGCAATAGACTATATCTCCAAATGGATAGAAGCAAAGACTTACCCAAGAAATGATGCCAAAACGGTAGTGAAATTTTTTCATAAAAACATTTTCGTTCGTTTTGGAACCCCCCGAGCATTGATAAGCGATGAAGGGACTCATTTTATAAACAAATTGCTAAGTGCCGCTCTTGAAAAGTACAACATCCAACATAGAGTAGCCACAGCTTACCACCCGCAAACCAATGGTCTTGCGGAACTTTCAAATCACGAAATAAAAAACATTTTACAAAAAGTGGTCAAGCCAAACCGAAAGGATTGGTCGCTTAAATTCGATGATACACTTTGGGCCTACCGTACCGCTTTCAAGACTCTATTAGGCATGTCTCCGTACCAACTTGTTTTTGGAAAATCTTGTCACCTCCCGTTGGAATTGGAGTATAAGGCATCTTGGGCTATTAAGGAACTAAATTTAAATGCAACTCTTGCGGGAGAGAAAAGAAAGCTCCAACTCAATGAGTTGGAAGAGTGGAGGTACCAAGCCTACGAGAATGCCAAGATATATAAAGAAAAGACAAAAATGTGGCATGACCGTAGGATCAACCAGAGAACTTTTGAAAAAGGTCAAAAAGTTCTTCTCTTTAATTCTAGATTGAAGCTTTTCCCCGGAAAACTCAAATCTAGATGGTCGGGACCTTTCACTGTTATTGAAGTGGGAAAATTTGGAACTATAGATCTCTTAAACCCACAAGACAATACTGTTTTTAAAGTGAATTGGCATCGGGTTAAATATTTCTTCCCGGAAGGAATGCAAGACCCACGCCAAAAAATCTCTTTGATTTTCATCAAATCGTTTGTTGTAAATATTGTACATATTTTTAATCTTTGTACTCTTTGTTTGTTTCATGCACGTGTAAGGGGGTTTTTGAAAAAATTTGATTTTGGCGGGTTTGTGTTTTTTCTTAAAAGAAAAGGGAGTTAAGAAAAAGAAATTTAAATTGAAAAAGTGAAAAAATGATGGGTTTTTCTGAATTAGGCGGCTTTGGAAGGGTTATTTGATAAAAGCTTTTTAATTTTTTATTCAAAAATCTAATGCCTTTTGGGTTTTGCATGGAGGGTGGTTTTCTAGGTTAATAACCGCCAAATTTTTAAGAAAAAGGGAGGTTAAGGAAAGAGGATAAGGTTGAAGGGTAATAATGGTTTCTGATTTTGGAGGCTTGGAAAGCCTTGGACAAGACTAAAGCTTTTTCATTATATTATTTAAAAATCTTGTGAACTTTGGGTTTTGCATGGTGGGTAGTTTTCAAGAGAGGTAACCACCAGATTTTTAGAAAAAAAGGGGGAAATTGATTTTAAGACTCATTGTTACATTCTTCATCTTCTCCCTCTCATTTTCCTATGGCAAAATCCAAAAAACTCACCGCCGGCCGAGTTCCAACTCGCCGGCCGAGTTCCAACTCGCAGGTCTTTGCGCCGTTCAACCGCCGGCGAGTCTTTCGCCGCTGCTCCAGTTGCGCCTCCTAATGTCGAGTCAAAGCCACTGTCTCCAGGCTATATTGAAGAAGGTGGGGAGCGTGGAAGACCGAGTCTCGGACTTGGAGAAGAAAACAACCCGCTTTTGGGCATATACACGAGACTAGAACCGTATGGAACGACAGCTTCATGGCCGTCAAGGCGGCCTCTTGACAACCCAACTTTCGCGGTTTCCAAGTGGTCTATGCCCCCCCACAGGTACGATGTTTCCCACCCCTACAAGCTCCTATGCTGGTCACTGATTCTGCTACTGCCCCTTTTCTTCCTGTTCCTCATGTTGCTGCTGGTACGTCTACTATCGCTGCCACTGCTGTCATGCCTGCTGTCCCTGCTCCCGTTGCTGCTCCTGCTGTCCAAAGCTCCAAGGAAGCTGAGGAAGCTCTTGCTTGCCCACAGTAAGCAGTTTTGAAGATAATGGTTTAATTCTCGACCTTTTTATTCCGTCTTTTGTGTATGATTTACGGAATCGTCATTTCTTTTGTGTGAATATAATGACATGGTGATTGGATTTCATTTTGTTTGTCTAGTTCCATTTCTCTTTTCAGGTACAACATCCTTGGATGATTTTTAATAGTGTTGAAGTTAAGAGGACGTAGGCCCTCCTTCTACTTTTAAGCCCAAACACTTTTCCCCTTGCACCCAACCCGTACCCTTTTGGTCCCTTTTGCTACAATCGGGACATTGTTGTTATTAAGTTTGGGGGGATGTGTCAAAAAATATATACCTTCGAAAAATTGGGACGTATGAAAAAAAAAAGAAAAAAAAAGAAAAAAAAATAGAGAAAAGAAAACAACAAAAAAAAAGAAGAAACAATATTCGAAAAATTAGAAGACGAAAATAAAAAGCCCGATTATCCAAAAGGGAAAGTTTATGCCAAGAAGAGGGTCACAAACTTTTTCCGATTACTCAAGAGTGAATCAATGAGTACTTTTTGTTTCAAACCCTTTTGTAGTATAGGATAAGTTTGGGGGAGGGATACACGCTGCTATTGCCAAAAACACTAAACCTTAAGTCCTACTGATTAACGACAACACTACGAAGATCAAGCAAGGAAGTTGTACATCCTCCTTACTAGACGAATTTCCAACACCTTCTATAAGTTTTTCGTTCTTGTTCC